GGGTGGGGGTGGGGGGACACTTCTGGTGAGTCGAGCCCGTACATCAGCATCTGAGAGGACGGATGAAGCAGGGAGACATGCCTCGTGTTTCCCTCCACACACACGTCTCTGTATCTCTCTGTCTTGTCTCTCTTGTGTAAAACAAGAAAACAGAGGGAGTATTGATGCCCCCTGTTCAACCTCAAACGCTCTGCTGCCAGTCTGTGTCTCTCAGTCCCTGGTTCAACCCTCAATAAACTGTTGCCTTGTTGCTCTTTTAAACCATGCCTTTTTTATTTTTGCAGCCCCCCCACCTCCAAACCCCTCTTGTTGACAAACCTACTGAACAAGGAATACTCAATCTCCTGGAGACTACCCCAATTAAATAACATTATGCAAACAGTGTCATAGTGGGAATGGATTAGGGAGCGGGGGGTATGTGAAAGCCGGAAAGGTGGCTGCTGGTGGCTGGAAAAGGGGGTTAAAGCAGGGAGTCGGCCTCCAGCGTCTTGGCTACAGGGGGAGATGTGCCATCTGCTCCACACAGAGACACAGCACAAGTTTAAAAAGTAAGCTCTTTCCTCTCTCCCATTCTTCCCCCCCACTTTGGACTGTCGTTCCCTTTTCTTCCTGTCCCTCAATGCTTCATTCAGTGTTTATCTCTTTGGCTCTGAATAAATAGAGACACCTTATCTGTGCAGAGGAGAGGGTGATAAATGTTTTCTCCCGTTTCCCCGCAAGGGTGAAGAAGACAAGCGAACCACACCGCTTCATCACCGATGCTCTTTTCAGGACAAGGGAACAGGAGACGTTTCTCATTCAGGTCATGGAAGAGTTTGAGGATTCTGCAAAACAATTCCCAAAAGCGGCGTGCGCACACACATAACACACAATTTTATTTAATGGAAGAGAGAAGCAGAGAAACAAATAGGCATGTCTGGGTTTCCTCATCTGCCACCTTTCCCCTTTTTCGGGTAAAAAGCTGCTACTCCTGGAAATGAAACTTTGAGATAAGACGCATTCGGAGTATTGTTGAATGTAGCAATATAGAGCTGCTGGAAAACAATGTTTATTTTCTGCTGAGGCGCTACATATTTTGGCGGGTCTTAAGTTCATTTCTCTCTTTTTATTTTGCAACGTGCCACAGTTTGCTCGCATTGTGGAAACAAGCCATCTCCTGGTGGTAAAGGCCACTTTAAAAAAAACAAAAAATTTAGGACTTCATTTAAATTCAGACTCATCAGCTGTCTCTCTTTTTTGTTTCCTTTGCACAGGATTACAGACTCCTGTCATTTTCATTTTGAAAATAAAACCATAATCCTGGTAAACAACCAGCAATCCCTAGCCTCCTGTCCGCAGCACACTGGCAGAAACAAACCGACACATGAGAAGTGTTCATGTTTTTGTTCGTAGCAAGTGGTTCTTTTTTAAAATTACTAGACAATCATTTCTTTTTGTCACTTTTTAAAACATTAATCTGAATTGTTTCCTTTATTTACCCTCCCCAGAGGGTTTTTTTTTTAAACGATTTACCTCTGTAGATTAACAGTTGTAAACTTTCTGATCACTAACAGGTGTGGCATGCATGAATGATATCTATATACACCAACTCTTTTTCCTGCTTATCTAATGTTCACATAGTTTTCAGGAGCGTGTGGGCAGATGTTTGAAGCGTGTGTCAGCCTGGCATCACTCAGCCGAAGGATCTGAGTAATAGCGACTTCCTCTTTGAATTTTGATATAGACCTGTCTTTCCATATCTGGGGATTATCCGGTGATGAAGGGACGTTACGCAGAGGTGGATTTCTGATCTTATCTCCACTCGGTCACAGCTACCACCCTTGCCCTTGGACTTGAAGACCCCGTCTTCAGCTATCCCTCCGACGACTTTTGCCCCTTCCTCTCGGTTTGACGGGATGTTTGCGTTTCACACCCACGCCTAAAGCCTTCTACCTTTGCATTTCAGTGGTTCTCTTCCCCTTTATATTCACTTGATCATAAATAACAAAGCAAATGTTTAACAGATTTAGGATTTGGAATGTAAACGGTATCCTAAAAGCTAGTTTGTACTTCCACAAGACACGAGACAGTAGATCAATCATTAAGTTATTTGGGTCGTCTTCTTACTGAGTATTTATACTAGCGTAGGGGAAAAAACATCATAATCTCCCCACAGCACTCCCAATGTAGCACACTTTGTGCATATCTAAACATAAACAACAACAGTGATAGGGTAAGAGAGATAGTGGATCAGATGTTGGATGTGTTTTTGGATGAGGAGGAGGAAGCCACTTATCCTGTTGCATCACGATCTCCGCTGGCTTTAAAGGGGCAATATCATGTAAAATCAACTTTTTTGAGTTTTATATCATGTTCTAATGTTATACTCTCATAAAAAAACATGCCCAAAGCCTTGCTTTGACTCATTCATGCATGTTTGAGAAATCCTGCAGCGTTTTTAGGAAGCCATGCTGAGGAGCAAAATGACAGGTGGGGACCAGAAACGCCTTTTGGGACCAGAAACGCCCCTGGGACGTGTCTTTAAGCCGAACTTCCTCTCTTTAAGCC